TCAGTTCTACCAACTTGTTAAAGAGAAATATGACTAACAATAAGAACAAGACTTACAAGAAAGGGCATGACATTAGGTTGGTTCACGACACGCTCAACATAAGGCGCTTGGAGCTCACTCTCAAAATAGTTTTAGCACTGATAGCGATTGTGGAAGGAGGAACAGGGAAGGGGATCAACTTTCTTCGATCCACAACACAGTACATGTCCTTCCTGTGTATACAATTACATTATTATGCTACAAGCTGCGTGAGCAGTACTTTTTACTCAGGGACAAAATGGGGCCATTTCGCAAGAATGTTTCTCAAGTACAAATGTCGTTACTTATCTTCCGCCTACTCACGCTGACTGAACATACTTTGTAGACATATAAAAATGTAAGCATAATACTACTAATGGTTATCGTCCTATGTCTGATGAGTGGGCTTCACTCGACATGTCCATAACCAGTTGTAGCTAGCACAGTTGTCTAAATGGTTATAACTAAATATCCGCATTAGGGTCACAGAAATTTACACTTCCATAAAAAATTTGATTTATTTGCGAATACAATGTTTTCTTTCTGTGCTACATATGTGAAAGTAAAAATTTATATATTGCTATGATTTTAATAGCATTGGATTAACATTATGGTCAGGGCTGAATGCTTTCACGTACCACAGTTTGATACCTATAGAACAGAGTCAAGTTAAGGCAGTAGTTCGTCAACCTCTCAGGGATATTAAGATTACTGTTCTCAGGAATGTCATTCCGTGTAATTAGCAACATTTCGGAGGAACCCATTGTCTTGATCTATTGTTGCAGAGAAGTTTGATCCTCTTCCCTAAGGGTGGAGGCTACAGGTTTCTCCTAATTGTTGGTACTTATCTAACAAACTACATGGAGTTATTATTATTGCTAATGGGGTGGGACTCAGTCCCTTGTACTGCGGCCACTTCTGGCCTATTGCACCGGCCCCAGATGTTAGGTGAGGGTGATTGTGGAGCAGTTGGTGGAATGAAGATTGGCAGGGGAAACCGAAGTACTCGGAGAAAACCTGCCCCAGCGCCACTTTGTCCACCACAAATCCCACTTGACCAGACCCGGGGTCGAACCCGGGCCGCCGCGGTGGGAAGCCAGCGACTAACCGCTTGAGCTATGGCGCGGCCCTACATGGAGTTATATTCCCCAAGTAATCTTAATATTCACCGCCAAAAGAACATCGTATCTCTTAGGAATATACAAAGTGACACGGAGGATCCACAAAAAAAAAAAAATACAAAATAGCGCCCTTTTTGTGTAGTTGCTCGCATTGCAAGTGACTCTGTGCAACATCGGGATGGAGCAAGTCGGGTAGTTATTCAGAGCACGAGACAGCGAATATGAGAACAAATTTTCAGTCAATAGGACTGTAATCTGTAGTTTTACATGAGCATTTAAGTATGAAAGTTGGCACTACCTTAGCCGACAAGCTCGGTCGGTATAGTTCGCTTGCGGACTCAAGCCACGGAGTTAGTTTTGTTTTAAGTATTACGATATTTTAATAAAATGTTAGCGGAGTGACACAGTTTCGGAACGGCTGAGTTACTGCTACAGGCCACTCGTAGAATAATCGTTTGCCGTTATATTACTGAAAATCTTACTATTCTTCAATCATGAAATTTAACACAAAATATTAATATCATTTAATTGATCCTTAAATAAAATTATATAGCTTACGATTCTGTAATTGTTAATGATAATTTTTTATTTATTATGCCAGTTGTATATGGGACGTTATCCATTCTGTCTGTTTTTGACCTACACATTGTATCGAAAGTTTGTTCGATCCCCGTCTTTCGGCGATAGGTTGCCTTTTTACTGGCAATAATTTTTATCACAGAATCGTTAAATAACCAAAGAATAAGAACAAAAACAATAAACAAACTCCGTGACTGTAGTCCGCAAGCGAACTATACCGACCGAGCGACAACCGCTTGTCGGCGAAGTTGGTGGCAACTTTAGCGGATAGAGGTGCCACGTGGTCAGCGCAAAGAATCCCTACGTCCGTTAATTTCGGTTTTCTAGACCAGATCCCCTATTTCTTTGATATAGCTCCTCAATTATGCTCACGAGAATGAGTGGACCCCGTTACCGACATACTACTTCTCAGAGAATCTGGTAGCGCCGAGAATCGAACCTGGGACCTCTGGATCTGTAGCCAGGAACTCTGACCACTAGACCACAGAGACGGTCTCAAAGAATCAATAAGAAATTATAAAATATGATTAAAACGCGTATTTGATTCATCATGAAACAGAACATTTTCGTTCGGCCTCCAGTTTCACAAGTATGTGCTCTCCATTGCAGCGTTTCTTAACAAACGAGGCGCATTGCGTTGGTGAGAATGAAGCCTTAAAAACAAGATTCTCCACTGATGACTAATAGGTAAAAGGTCAAGTTTTCCTTGTGCTCAAAGAATTAAGCATTATTTCATGAAGACGTATGGGGGAGTGGGTGTATAGATCCACATTTTCTTGACCTCGGTACTAGCTGCAGGTGAGTGGTCAGCTTCACGCCCCGGCCGCTTTACCTTCAGGAAAGAAACCTCGGTGCCCATTGGATAGGAAGTTGGGTGAACCCCAGAGCCGGTCTGGACGAAGTGGTGAAGAGAAAATTCTTAACCCTACAGAGACTCGATCTCCGACCCCCCAGTCGTCCAGCCCATAGGCAGTCGCTATACAGACTGAGCTAACCCGGCTATCAAAATATATAAAATTGTAAAACACTTCTTGGAAAATGTTAACTTTTTTTGCTGTGGTGAGAACTATGCTTTCTAAAAATTGATAGGTGAGACGCAAGTTACAGAATGTTTGAAAACATTGCTCCATGTGGTGTCCTCAACTGTCATTGTTTCCTATGGAAAGTTGTGTTTGTATGATCCAATTCTGATAATCACAGTTTGCACTGCTGCCAGGGTTGAATTCTGTATAATACAATTATTTGATGCAATTGTCAATATATTTATTGACAATTTGTGAAACCGTGTATGTTGCAGAATTTAGATTTATAAATTTATTTTTGAACACCCAATCCCCAAATCATGAACATTAAATTACAGAGGCGGGACAGCGCGGTCGTTATAACGACTAGCTACAGGCTAGACGACCAAGGGGTCGGAGTTCGAGTCCCGGTGGGGGCGAGAATTCTCACTTCTCCATGTCGTCTAGACAGGCTCTGGTGCCCACCTAGCCTCTTATCCAATGGCTAACGGGGGGCTCTTTATCCGGGGGTAAAGAGGCCGGACCGTGAAGCTGGCCACTCACCTCCAATTAGTGCCGAGGTCAAGAAAACGTGGATCTATACATTCACTCCCCTATACGTCTTCATAACGTAGTGTTTAATTAATTAAGCACTGGGACGACAATATCAGTTCCAGTGCCAGTCAAGCTATCGTATTAAATCGTCACGACATGACTATTAACACACAGCGCTGTCAAAGGAGTCGAAGCACCAGCGCAATGCTACTTGAAACACGTATTGCTACACATTAACCCCAATTGCTTGCGTGTTTCTCGTCCCTACAACATTAATCTTTGCGCTATTTTTGTGAGAGTATTTCTCTTCATAAAATTTATATTGCTGTAAAAGGTAAGGGCAATGTAAAGTTTCCATTTACATACTTAGGCATCATACCAATGAAGGAGCCCTTGGTTTCCACTAGATAGGAGAGGAATTCTTGCGCCTTCCAACTGTCCAACCAGTATCCACTGTTAGAAAGGACATTAAATAGTAACAAAAACCTCTTTAATGTGACTTTTATCTCTCAGTTAAATGTTCATCTGAAACAACAGTAATCCTAATTTACCTGTAAAGACGTGCCAAGTATGGAGTTTGCCATTGCAATGACTTGTACTTCTCAGTCAGTTGTTGACTGTTATTTTCAAGAACAATCGTCAGTACCCTTTAAATTCTACTTTCTCTTGGTATTCCTGTATACACAGAAGGTAGATTATGTAAGAAATCTGTATTAGAATCACAAATAAACTATATTCGTTTAGTTGCATACATATCATACATATACTAGTTGTTTCCTGGTGTCGAGGTTGACCCAAGTAGTAATACAAGCCCATGATATTCTTCTGAGTGAAGGAACAACCTGATATCATGCACTCAAATTACTTGCCAGAAACGGGATCTTGGCCTTAATATGAAAATTGATTAAAATTGAGGACATATTTTTGCAATTCATTCCCGTGCCCATTTATAGGTGTTTATTTGGAGCCTATTGCAAAAATTGTGTAGTAAACCTTAATCTGTATATTGCGTTATTTAACTTTTACATGTAAATTTAATAAGTAAGGAACTGAGCACATTTAACTTCAGTTTTGAGCACTGCAATTGTGTACATTTAAAAATGGAGTATACAGGAGATTAGTTCATTACTAAAAAACAAGTTATTAGTGTATCAATTATAAACGCAGTTCAAATGTTGGTAGAACTGTTTATTCATCACTTAGGTTCATATTCTCCGAGTAATGATCACAGGCACTCGGCACAATGCTACATCGATTGTTCAACTTCCGATTGTCGAAACGCCAATCTCTGATCTCTTTTTCTTAATTTCATTATGAAGTATTACTACTAAATAAGAAAACATTATACAAAACTGCCAGCAGACTGAGCACATATGCACTATCTTACAGACACCAACACTTCCCGACTTGTTCTGCTGAAGAATACAAGATGCCAGAAAAGAACACCATGCTTCATTCTTGTGTAAGTGAGGGATTTTACATTTCCTTCAATTCTTATATTGCACTTGTATTGTAAGATGGCACTTTACAACACTTAAGTTGGTAGTTACTATAGGATTCTGACGATGGTGTATAACACACTGATATGTTGGGATTTTGGACTTTATCCATCGTCCTGGTTTTTAAGATAACAAATAAAAACACGACGTTTCGTAAACTGGATCTGTTTCCGTCCTCAGGTGAAGGAAAACACCTATTCAGTTGGGTCCCTTATCTTAANGTTTACGAAACGTCGTGTTTTTATTTGTTATCTTAAAAACCAGGACGATGGATAAAGTCCAAAATCCCAACATATCAACACTTATGTCGCATTTTCTATGTTTAGAAATCGCTCCATTGCTCAATATATTCACAAGAATTTTTCCTGCCTGTGTATACAATTAAGGCGTCCACAGTTTTTGAAAAATGAACACACGATACCTCAGTAGAGGAGGTGGAATGTGTGGTAGCGTTTTGAGCCCTAAAACACACCCCACAAAGTGAGCTGTGCAGTAACCTTCACCTGTACACCGTCACGTAGATTTTTAAATAAAGCATGGGTTGGTGGTGACGCAGGAAACTCAAAGTTTAGCCGTTGATTCATACAAGATGCTAATATATAACTGACTCTTTCCAACTGTCTCTGTAGATACAATTTCACATGCATGGATTATAAAGTGAGTACACATTTTAAGAATATTTTGTACATTTAACTGAGATGTAAACCAGTTAACTCGTGACGTATCCATCCGATGGCAATGCAGTATAAAACCAGCGTTTAGAAAGATTTTAATGGCAAGGTGTTCGTAGCTTCATACTGCTGACAACACGATTGCTTATTCAAGTCTATATTAAAAACGTAGGATAATTGTGCTACTAGAATCCACTGTGAGGAACATGTCCAGTCTCTGATGCTGACAGACAATTTTTAGAGTCACAATTATCTCAATGAAGGACACAAACAATTATCAAGATTCAGTTTCACAATTTCAGGTAAAGTAAACTGAACTCTAAGATATATAAAGTTGAATAGGTGTTATGATCATTACACGAGCTATTTATTTATTTTCAAAAGCATTTCCATATAAAATTGAAAATAACATCTTACTGAATTATATTTTCTATTGTATTTGTATTGGAAAGTTATGTGAACAATTTTTTCGTATTGCTTGCCATCTTCAGTAAACTCTCAAATGACACCATGACAGTATTCTGTCACGTACATATCATAACACCTTCAAGAATCCAAGAACAAATTTAGTTGAGTACAAAGCCTCAGACGTAAAAGTAACTTCTGTGCCATTTTAAAAATTGTAAGAGCAAATGGTTTTGGAATCGAGTAATTACAAATCTAGCAACTCACAATTCCGGTTACGTGTCTTAAAAAAACAGACAATTCGTCTCTATATGACACAAAAGTATTTTACAGGCTGCAATGAGCTTGTACAGTTGCTGACTTGTCAAATATTTAGTCCCATAAACACAATAAAACCGTCGCGTTTGGTGTTACCCGTGAAAAGTAACGGGTACTGCGCTTCTTCCGGTATGCGCACCGGATGTAGCGACAGCTGGAACAGCCGCAGAAGTAGAGTTGTTGTCGGTCTGCCGAAGAGCCTACCAATTGAAATAGCCACGCGAACACGCGCGTGCGCTGCCGCACCACTTGGTCTCCAGCAACGGTGGGCAAACCTTGCCTCCGCGCCGTGCGTGCTTCAGCACTTCACGTCTCCGTGTCATCTCGCCAATACCGCACGATTTGCTGCATGGGCCCCAAGGCGACCAGTCGCTCACCCGACAGTCGCGCGGTGGTCCTGTAACACGTCACGTGCCAAGGTAAGGAAGCAGAAATGTTCTATATTGATGGCAGGTCTTCAAAGCAGAGCAGAAAGAACCACAAAACAAAAACTGATGAAGTTCGGTCGAAAATCAAAAACAAAGTTGGACCAAGACTTCAAATAGACAAGGCACTTTCCTCGAAAGTCACACCAGATCCAAATATTAGCATATACCGTCAATTTTACATGATTCGCACCATCGCTATGACTGCACGTACTGGCTTCATATACAGTCGATAGAAATGTTTATATGAGATCCCTCATGTTCCTATTCCATTCGATATCACCGCCAAATTGGAAATTTATAAAAAGAAATTCGCGGGGCTGCCATGTTGTTCTTTTATAATTCACAAATAATACGACATTTGGAGTTCTCCCTCCCCCCCACACGCAAGTTCGTGCCTTCGACTTGTTATTATTTTTTTCTGTATGGAATCAGAAATTATGAGGCTGAAGTGGCCTCCAATGACGTTAAGCTCATACCAAATTTTGCGAAAGTCGATCAATCTGTAGAAAAGTTGAAAGGGGGTACATAGCCATAGAGTGAATATTCATTCCACGAGGCTACAGTTCCCCCTTAAGAAAATAAAGTAGGCTAAAAGACATAGCTAATCTCATCAGTAAAGTTCTGACATAGACTTATTAAGAGAGAAGAAGGAAGGAAGGAAGAGAGGAACGGAGGAAGGAAGAAAGGAAAAATATCCGTTAAAACTCCTTACAGCAGTGGGCTTATTCACCGCAGATAACGTAAATCACATAAAATTCAAAGTGCCACACACTAAAGGGAGTAAAGGTAAGGCTCCACGCACTCCCAACTGCGGCACTAGTTGAGGTGGTCAGATGCAGCCTCTGGCCATTCATTCCTGCGGATAACTTACTTAGGCAGGACAGTCAGTGGACCCCAGGATCCATTTGAAAATGGTGGCGAACAAACATCCCTGCGACTGCCCCAAATCGAATTCCGGCCTTCCAGCTCCTAGCTAGTCACTTCACCGACTGACTTAAATACAGGCGAGCAAACATAATTTTACTGCACATCGGCAACACGCATGTAAGCGAAAGTGAACATGATAGCCAAGGAATGAAACTGAGCCCTATGTGAACCTTGGTGTCTGCCTACCGGGAATCAATACAGGACATCTGTGTAATTTTCTCAATCATACCTGCCAGGATAATATTTTTATTAAAGCGAGGCTCCATACACCACAAACTTCGCATTCAAGTGGAAAATCGAACCTTGTAATCTGGTTTACGGTAATATGATTTGCAGGCCTACAGCTCGAGGCCGTCCTTGCATGGGAAAACACGAACGTGTCAGTTTAGCAAATAACCCTGTTTGGTCGCAGTTTCCTGGCACCTCAAGCCGCTAAATATAATGAACGGTAACTCAGTTTCAAATAAGGCCTCAAGGAAACCGTCATATGTCGGTACAACACATCACTTCCCATAGGTGCTACAAGATTTTAGAGACAGGGTAATGAGAATGCCTGGATAAAAAAGAGAGAAAGTAACATGAGACTTGAGCAAACTGCTTAATGAGGAACTCCGTAATTTGCACCATTCCCCAAATATTTCAGAGCAATCAATTCATGGATGACGAAACTAGCGGTGGACCTCGAAAAGGTGTACATGAATGTATCCCGAATCAGAGTTATAATTTCAATGCAATGCCATCATAAATGTTTCGGACAGGCCCAATATCCGGTACACATTGAAATAGAGTCAAAGCGTTTTTCTGACAATGGAAACATGGCTTGTCGCTTCAACAACCACTTACTAATTTTGTGGAGTTTACTTCTCGGCTTTCCCTTGTACTTCTTGCGGTGGTGATCCTTACTGCTGGTTGGTGAACTCCGATACGTCTCCACGATGCTGTTCAAGATGGCGTCCTTGTCACCCTTTGGGATGATGCCTGCTGAGGGCACTTGCACACGAGCCAGAGGCATGTGATTCGTACTCCTGCAACAGTTCAATGTTCTGACCGGATGTATAAAAGAGCCGAGCAACGAACGTCACGACAGTAACTTAATGATACTAGGCCTCTAGTCTACTGCGCCATTTTCAATGCATTCATACAAATACGAGTATGTATCGTCGTCACAAGCAACAACTGATGAACGGTTCAAGCGAATCTATTGCATTGGGGGAGTTCATGAACGTAGACTGTGTGTGTGTGTATGTATGTATGTATGCAAATTCGAAGCACATTGCCTTAAGTGACGTGGCTACAACTACAACGACTGCAAGCTACAGCTGCAGCATATTGACAACAGCTGAATTACAGGCTGGATGTTTACAGAGTTAGTTTCTTGCGGTGGGGCGAGACTGAGTCCACTTGGTACGTCGGCCACTAATTTGTCTATTGTACCAGCTCCGGATAATAGATGATGATGAATATGGAGCAGTCGGTGAAATGAGAACTAGCAGGGGAAACCGAAGTACTCGGAGAAAACCTGCCCCAGCGCCACTTTGTCCACTACAAATCCCACATGATCTGACCCGGGCTCGAACTCGGGCCGGCGCGGTGGGAAGACGGCGACTAACCGCCTGAGCTATGGGACGGCCATGTTTATCGAGCTACAAATTGAACTCATTTCGAAATAATATACAAAAATTACGACACACACCAAAAATCAGTGTTTTTTATGTCACAGTATGATTTGTTGTTCTGTGTTATTCAATAAATATATAATTTGAAATACCGGCATATTTTATTTGTTAACTATGCATTATTTTTGGAAGAACTGATCCCGTTATTTCATTATTCTATTCACCAAAGTGTTGATAACTTAAAAGAATACTAACTTTTTAAATTAACATTGATATGCTCATTCCAAATCAGGGCACGATAATATTCCATTAGGTCACAGTTTTGTGTACCAAATTTCGAGCCAAAGTAGCGTTGTTTATTTACTGTTATATTTTTCTTAGAGTTTTTATATACTTTGTCCTTTATAATGTGATGAAGCATATTTCATTGTAGAATAAAACTGCATTCTCCGTTAAATAGCATCATTGCTTCAAACTGTGTGAGTGGTAAGGCTTATGTACGTTCAAATGTCTGCATACAAAAATAAAAAAGAAAGTTAAAGGCTGTGAGTGCTACAGCTTTTCGATCTCGGTCTTTGTGAAGATACGAGAGATTCCAGGTTTAGTCGAAACATTGTACTTCATACATATTACCAAAACAAGAGAAAATCGGCCGTGCTGTTACCAAACCTTACATACCTTCCTGGGGTCATAACCAGGAAAACGTGAAAATTTATCAATATTGTGTCGAAACTCACGTGGAATCTTCTAGCGTAGAGGTGACGGTCGTGGAAATGGTTGGCGCATGCGTGGTAGTGCTGAGATGCTGTATTCGTCGCTCCTCTTCGCTGCGTTCTTCTTCAATCTCGGCCTCTATGTCGTTATTGTTGAGCACGTCGATTGTATTTCGTGTCATGTGTTCCATGCGCAGCACCTCGTACTGCCTCTCGTCCTCCGTGTGGTGGAACACCTCGCTCAGTTCATACTCCTTCACCTGCGGATAATTTGATACTGCTGCATAAGTTCCGACGGGCATGACCTGCCTTCTATTATACACGGAATGCTTTCAACATGTGTGGAATAAATTAATGAATAAACAATGTGACATGTCAATGCACTGACAGGCAACGGCTCGAAAAACACCCCTCGATACGTGCACGCAACAATAGGACGAATATTTATAGCTCGTTGCTAGGCAACAGTCAGCGTGCCAATGGACTGGCGAGATGAATATCACGTGACTGTTTTTCTATGGAGTGCGCGCCGCGACCGTTGCTATGCAATGGTTCGGTGAACATTTTTCAACAATAGAGTTTGAGTTTTCAGCGTGGTCCGTACCGAGGGTTTATAGGGGACAGTGAAGGTCGTTTGCAGTCAGTAATAGCTGAGAAGCCGTGAGTCGAGGACACGGAGCCGTCACGGAAAGGGAGTCTAGGAGGGTTCAGCAGTTGAGAGTACCAGGACGAGAATGGAGCATGTCTTTACGGAATTGTGAAGATTAACTGAATACAGGTTAGGACAGAGGAGTACAGAGTGATTGAAGGCGAAATAACAAGAAGACTTCAGAGTGATTTGAAGTGTTAGTTTCTGTATTGAGATCCGTTGCCAGGAGGCGACTAGTGAAGACGGCGTATCCTAGTGCGTGTGCAGCGGTGAACTGTAAATTGTGTAAATCAGCGATTGTGCTTTATTAATTGCAATTAAGATCGAGTGTAACCGACGTGCTAATAAATCCAATCATCCGAACTAGAACCCGTTATTTTCGTCACGCGTACCCTCTACACGTGACAGTACATTTAGAAAGCACCAAGTGACTTCAAGAAACAGTTTTTTTAACACTCAGAATTACTGGGATTTTGGACCATGTCCATCGTCAGGTATTCTAAAAACTAGAAAATACAACGTTTCGGAAACTGGATCTGTTTCCTTTCTCAGGTGTGGAGGAAGACACTTACTTTGTTGGGTCCCTTAGAAAGGGTTAACCTCTAGGTTTAGAACACAGGGCGATGGATAAAGTCCAAAAACTCAGTAATTCTGAGTCTTACATACATCGTCAGAACCTCTTTAGAATTCACTAGATTTTAAAAAGTTAATGGATAATCTAGTGATAAAAGAGTCCTGGCTGTGCCAGACGCCAAGGATTACAACTTTCATTATATAAGCTTGCATTTGGAAGCCATTTTAAGTTAATTAATTCCAGTCAATATTTATGTAGGTACATTTTAATATTATTCGTTCGTTAGCTTCTCCCAGGTAACCCAATTTGTTGCTTTCCACATAATATAACCAAAATTTTATAAGAATTGTTTATTTAGGTTCCATGAACACAATTCATGTATAAATGGAATAAACTTACACTGTTTTTATTTTACAACGTGATTCGGCCATTTTATAGCAATCATCAGTTAAATCATTTTGTATTCACTTACTTACTTACTCACGGAGCTGAGCATTTCTGGAGGAGCCGCCAATTCTGCAGCTACTCAAGAACTTCCCAGCATTTTATGGAACCCGAAGGTTCATTACCATTTTCACAAGAGTCCTCTATTGGTCCCTATCCTGAGCCAGATCACTCTAATGCATACCATGCCATTCTATCTCTCGAAGATAAATTTAAAATTGTACACCCACCTACGCCTTGGTCTTCCCAGTGGTCTATTTCTTTCTGGCTTTCCCAGCAATATCAAATAACTGACACACACTATGAGGCTAAAATACAGTATTACTAATTTATAAACAATGTGTTTTTACCTTGTGGGTTCTGTATGTCCGGTATCGATTCTTTCTTGATATCGCTGTTAACAATAGTAGCTGAAGGCTGCAAATTGTGGGGCTTTTCATTAAGTATTTTGTTCGCTCACATACTGCTCCTTGTCTTCAGCACCCTCTCTCAGACGTCATCAATCTCTGTTCTTACCCCGAACAATTCAATACTTTCAGAACATCCCTGCTTATATTATTCTGTCACGATCAAGGGGCTTGTCACCCCTCAGCCGAAGTCTCAGCGGCCCGGTGTTTATGTTCGACATGACCCGTGACAAATGCGACTGTCACTATCAGATCTGCAGATGCTGGCAGGCTTCCAAACACTTAAGTGCATTGGTGACCTGGGTTTCTTAACAATCGCTTTACTGAGCACCATACGTTGCAAATGGCGGCCAGGGCAATTGAATGAAACATCCTACAACGAGACCCTTTTAGAAACTCACGCATATCAGTGGAACTACTTCCGTCAGGTCGATCCGCTAAGATCGGGGCTGCTAGCAGAAACCGACACACCTATAGCCTAAATATCACATAAATAAAACTAACCGACGCCACAGTTCACAATGGAAATGCTTTCTGTTGCATAACAATGATTTAATTCAGTTTCGCCTCAAATCGTTGAACTACTGTGAAGCGGACCTATGCATTATATGCGTAGTCAATCACATATTCCGTGCCTCAGGTTGCTTCAAGTCCTACAATTATACTTGAATAGTGAGATAAACAGTCATTCATCATTCATTCTTGTCATATCCCCGTCTGCTGTGTGGAAATACGAAGCACGAGATACATACTGGAACAACGAGTATGTGGAAAGTGGTTCTGCGAGAAAAATAAAGGAAAAACTCGAGGGTCCTTACTAAAAAAGCTCCCTGAAGAGAAAGTGGATGCAATCGGTACTAGGCTTCACTTTCCTTCTCAGAAATCCCTCAGGTGCCTTGTGCTGTAGACCGGGATTTCAAGTTTCAGTTTTACGGCTCCGAAGCGTGAATGTGCCAAGAATGTGTGACAAAGATTTACAGCATCTGCTGTCATCTGGTTAAGTTGCATTTGTAATGTGTTAAGGTTATAGGTTTGCTGGTTCCGACAGCATTTCGAGTCTCTGTGGTACCTGATGGGAGGAGCGGAAAACTCTTCTGCCTGAGCGTTTCAACGATCAGTGTGAGGCTCTAGAAGGATCTCGCCTACGGCTTTACGAAAATCTCCTTGGGATAAATGTCACTGTGTGACTCAGTTACGAATTAATTCAAATGTATACGTAATTAATCTCACGTTTTTCATTTAGTAGAATACCGAACATTCTTCTCCATCCAACCAAATAGTGAAGAGGTCCTCTTAAGCAGCAGATCATCATTCAGCTGTCCAAGCAATTCCCTGCCACATCTGTTACTACTGAAGCTCGTTGTAACTCTCCTTAGGCAGTCTGCTGCGAAATGTATAATTTGACGAGGCAGAGTTTGTTTCCAGAAAGCAGAGAGTAGCTCAGCCGCTTCAGACATTCCCGGCCTCCTATGGAACCCGAAGATTCACTGTCGCGTATTTATATATCTGGTCATAATATTGAGGTGGAAGCAAAATACAATCAATCTGACAATTTCGGTATGGAAACAAAGGTCATTTCTTGTTGTCGAGGTGTCAATAAACCAAATAACATAAAAGGGAAAATCATTTTAAAACTGGCATTAGTCTTATGTGGGGCACGTGGTAGCGTGCTACAAGCCGGAAGTTAGCGGGATCGAATCCCAATGAGGTGGATTTTTCAATTTACCTAATCCTTCCAGCTGCAATATGGCCCTGGGGTTGACTCAGCCTCTAACAGAAATGAGTACCAGGAATATTCTTCGGGGTAAAGGGAGGCCAGCGCGTAAGGCTGACAGTCTAGAAAATGTGGAAGCCTAACATCTTGCAAGCCTATGGGCCTTCACGGCCTGTTACAGGGATACGTTTACTTACTCGCTTATTTTACTGTATTAAGATTATGTATGGACGATTGTATTCCCAGCCGATTAGAGTGGCCGCGTGGTCTAAGACATGAACCGTCTTCGCCCGCTTGAACACTGGGATCCTGGGTTCGAATCCCACTTGAGGCATGGATGTCTGTGTGGGTTTATTCTGTGTTTGTGTTGTTCTGTGTCTATGTAGTGGCCTTGCGACGGGCTGATCCCCCGTCCAAGGAGTCCTGCTGACTGTGAATGAATTAAGAAACTGAAGAAGCGGCCAAGGTCCACAAGGGCTGTAGAGCCATAGATAGACAAACAGATGGACTGATGGGCAGATGGATAGATAGACACAATGCATTCCTTTAAGTACGTGGAGCTGAGCCCTTCTTGAGAAGCTGCCAGTTGTGCAGTTACTCAAGAATCTGCAAACATTTTACGGAACCCGAAGGCTCATTACCGTATTCAAAAGAGCCCTCCACTTGTCTATATCCTGAGCCAGCACTATGCCATGAACACATATGGGGGAGTCGAGGTATAGCTCCACCATTCTTGATCACGGAACTAGATGGGGCGAGTAGTCAGCTGTACGCCCTGGCAGTCCCCATCCCTCCCGGGAAAATCGCCTACGGCACCCACTGAATAGAAGGATGGATGGGCCCCGGAGCCGGGCAGGACGTTGTAGAGAAGACAAGTCTTGCCCTGCCGGGGATCGAACGTGAGCCGTCCAGTGGAAGAACTTAGGAAACAAACTAAATATCTGTCAGGACAGCCGGTCTCCGACCGAGATCTGAAATCGGGACCTCCCGAATGCGAAGCGTTAACCACTTTATCCCGACCTTTTCCGTCTACCAGTACTTCTAACCAGCTAACTGCATGAAACAAACTCCTTCATGAGAAGCTGACAGTTGTTCTCCCAGCCAACAAATTCCCTCAAATGTATTGAATCTGTGTTTTACAGCTCAGTAGGAACAGTGACTGCGCTACGGGCTGAACGGACGTGGTTCGATTCCCGGAAGGGGAAAGAGATTTTTCTCCTCTCCACAGCGTCCAGCCCCGCTGTAGGCCATTCAGCCTCGTATCCAGTGGGCACCGGGGACACTTTTCTTGAGGATAAAGCGGCCGGAGTGTGAAGCTGACTAGTCATATCTACGTCGTTGAGAGGTCAAGAATTTTGGAGCTATACTTCGACTCCCTCATACGTCTTCATGGCGTGATGCTTAATTAGTTAAGCACAAGAACTTTTTTTTTCCTCCGCATACAGCCCCAGTGGTCCTACGCCTACCTCCAT